TGCTGAACGCCTATCATTCTACATAGAAAATCTCTTCTTCTCCCAGATGTGGAAGAATACAATAGCAACAGCTTGTAACTGAGATTCACAGTAAAAAGAGGGATTGTAAATTAAAGCCATCTTTTTAATCAGCAGTTTTTCAAATTTTGAGAGTTTAGAAAAACATAATTTTGGCAACTCCAAAGTTTTCCTGATTACATCTCCCCTTCTGCTATTAATGTCCATCACATCCCCTCTCCAAGCACCATACAGTCAAGAATTGTTGACTAGTTCTTGTCCTACTGAGTTTTCACAGCTCTAACACCTTGATGAAACCTGTAAGTAAAATCAAGTTTTTCTTATAAGCTTGTTCTCCAGGTGATTTACTGTTTTCAAAAATACACAGTGAGATAGTGAAGCAAGCATCCACACCTTTGATAATCTGGTTAGCAGGAGCACCTGCTTCTGTTGTGAGCATATATTTTATGTTCTCATTCATTGTATCAACACCGCAACTAGTAGACAGTAATCCTAGAGACTCCGTAACAAATCCATTCAAGCTGCAAGTAGTAGGTTCCACAGCCCAAGAGAAGCCTTAATGCTGCAGCACCTCCTCCAACAGGATCTAAACTACCTAGGGCTGAATGACAGCAGCCACATCCTCTGAACACGGGAAGCAGTGAATTGTCTCCTAGTCATACTAGTCACTGCCATAAGTGTCCTCATCTGAGAACCTTTTTAATCAAAATTCTCCCCAGACATTACATGATTTTCCTCCTTAAAACACACATTTCTTTCCAAATAACAAATCAAGAAGCAAACACAGATACAATTTTTTTAACTACAAACTACCAATGCTGAGAAAGAATTTCCTAGTGAAGTGGGACAGAAAATTCTTCTTTTTGGTATCAATATATACCTAGTACTTACAGGTATATACATCACCTTTGGACTATTTTACAAGTTGAATTAACTTGTAGACCCTATGCTGTACAAACATAGGCATGTATGTATATATGTGTTGTAGTTTGGTGTTGCACTGGTGCAAAGCAGCCTTGTATACTCCCTAAGGACAAAGAAAAGCAATAGTCATAGGAAAATTTCAGACAAAGTTAAGTAGACTTGCCAAACATATAGTAAAAACTCTATTAACAGAGATAAAGGGTATTGTCAAACACCTAAGTATGTAAACACAAGACTTAAAATTATCCATTGCAACCCATGCCTGTGTCTATTTTGATCATCCAGATGAAGTTTTAAAAGTTTCCTTCAAAAGCTTTTCAGCCCAATATGCAACTTCAGCCATATGAAAGGCAAACATGCAAACACAAGATATGCCAGGCAATTTTACAACCTTCATTTGCAATTACTTCTGAACAGTCTGCTTTTACAGGTCTATTATTTAAAGGCATTGGTTTTTATACTCAGCTTTTCTGATTTAACTCTGCACAAACTAGTTAACACTTCTTTTAAGAAGAAGGTGTTTTGTCCACAGAACCATCTGAGAAGGTAATGAGCAGTAACTGAGGATTTTAGTACCATTAGGATTTTCATAAGGTGTGCCACAAGAAACAAACCGAAACACATGGAGATCAAGCCTAGGAGGGACCCTAAAGCATTCTGTAGAGCAGTACTGAGCATGCTTATAGCAAGTGAAGTGGAAGAAGTTCCTTCTTACTTTTTCCTACTTAAATACAAAACAAGTATTCAAATCACACACAATTTAAATTTAAGATCCTCCTTGACAAACTTCTTGCTCAAACAAAAGGTAAGCTCTCACAACTTCACAATGGATCAGGTACCATAAAATTAAGTCTCAGCACTGCAAGTGACACCCTCTAGTGATTTGCAGACCAATACCAGTCTCCTGAGACTGGATGCATGTCATTAAAGTGAAAAGCAGAACCTGTGTTAGAAAGCTCCAATTCAGCCAGACAGATAAAGATCTGCCATGATTTTGGCACAGCATTCCAAGCAACATGGACAACCATAAGAATAAAACCCACCAAAACAAAACCCACATTGCCATACCTATTCATTTACACAGGCTTTTCTCCACACTTTGTAGTCCTTGCCCTAAAACAGACTTAAGAAATATTAAATGAAACAAATTAATGCAACTGGAATTTGGATACTAATGCAAGTCCATAAAATTGCTGTTTTATGACTAGGTTCTGAAAGTTTAATCTGGCACTATCCAGAAGCCAAGATAAACTAAAGGAACAGTGAGATGATAAAAAGAAAAGCTAAACACCAGTTCCTACTGCTTCAGCACTTTGTATCAAAGACTACAGTGTACTTCAGTGGAACTTATACAGCATTATTTAGAAGGCTTTAAGCACATGCAACTATTCAAATAGTAGCACTATTACTACATGTGTTACTCTTATAATGATGTGAATAGCTTTAGGAATACTGGGAAATCCGTATTTGGGACTAGAAGACAAAGGAATAGAGGAAAGGAGGAAGGGGTTACTCTCAAGGCTATCTCACACCATTACATGCTTCAAGTGTAAAAGATCCTTTAATTCTTGAAGATGCACTGTCTTCTAACTACAACTGAGCTACATGTAAGTTACTTTTGAAGACTTATGTAGAAAAGTCTTTACCTTCTGTGAAGTTAACACTGAAGTTGAGAGGATTCTCCAAAACAGTGCATAAATGAAAGAATGAAGACATTTAATTTCACTGCAGTTCATTTTGGGGCTTGTTGGTTTTTTTGGTTAATTATGATGCTAATTGTATCTCTGCAGGTCAAGTGAAAGTATTTCATGTAACTAGAAGAGAAAAATATATTTAATGTTAAAACACATCACAAAGTTGGGTGAAAAAAAAATGAAAGTGAAAAGGAAGTTCCTTAAGCACTGAAAATCAAATGAAGACTGGCTTTTCCCCCCATCCAAATTAAAAGCCTAGCACAAGCTAAAGGATTATGGTGCAAAGCTATTATTATAGTGCAAGTATGATGAATATTCCTCCCACAAAGTGTTGACATGTACTGCTCTGGTTTTACTATCAAATTTTTTTTTCTTTAAACACATTAGACATCTGTTGTCTTGCTTTTCCTGCTTTTCAGCAATGCATTTATTCTGATAATGAAAAACCACACACATTAAAATCATTTTTATTTTTCTGCATTTTGACACCAAAGGTGAATGTCTTATGTTACAGTTTTCTATAGGCTGGACACAAGTTTAGCTATTTGTATTACTCAAAAAAAGCAGATTAAAACGAAAAAAAAACATTAATCTTAAGAGAAAAAAACCCAAACTATTGCTTTGCTACAAATTATGTTTGTCCCAAGGTTCACAGAAAGTAAAGCCTCCCCATAGCTATAAGTCTACACAATAACTGTACCTAGAGTAAAAAGATACTATTAACTAATGTTCTCAGCTTTTATAAGTAGCACTTTAAGAATAAATAGCATGATTTATTGCGATTTTGTACCAAGCAGTAAGACTGAACATCTGTATGCTGCAGATTTAAGCGCACCAAAATGTATACATTCACTTTAAAAAATTGTTGCTTATCACTCTTCATTGGTAGTAGTGAAGTCAGCTGCCTGCTCAATGAAGTTACACAATATAGAGTGTTTCAGCATGCTTCCACTGAGAAAAACTCAACTGCATATAAGTAGTAAATCTCACCTTAGAAGATGAAACTGTAGCAGAAAATGCAGCAATGCCCTCTTTATAAAAGAATAAAACTTCATATGGAATTTTCAGGCTTTGACAATACTTCTCTACATGAGTATTCAAAAATAATTACGTAAAGCTGTGCTGTAAAGACCTCGCTTTTTTAAAAAAAGAAAAAAGACCACTGTTGAAGTCAGAATTTAGACTACTTCAGATAACCTTGACCCAAAAAGTATTTTAGTAGTAAATTATACTGATGCAGTTTTTATTTTCCACGCATATTACTAATAAATAAGTTCCTCTAAGACATTTCTTGCCAATTAGATTTGTATTCAGCTCCTATGACACTGTAAGCACTAAAATGAAGTGATACATTTAAATGTTACATTTAAACGAAGTTATTAATACAATACTAAGACTCTTACAGAAAAGCAAACAGGTTTACAGTTACATTTACTAAAGTTACAGAAAAGGTTGTCGCATTCTCCCTACATCCTAAAGGAGATCAAATTGTTACACTGTTACCAAAACAAATGCATACAAAAATGCACTTCCCTTTATCACCTGTGTTTAAATCCTCCTCCACAATAATCTATAGAGAGAAAAGTACAACTTCTTTTCTGTACAAAGGAAAAGCTTTAAAAACAGCTTCACATTTTACTACATTTTTGCCCTTCTTGGCTTCCAAGTTCTTGCAAAAACAAATATACAGTTTCTCAAAAATGAATTTAAAGGAAGTCCACATTAAAAAAATAAAGCCTACAAAATGTTCAAAGATCTAAAAAATGTTACTCCTATGGCAAAGTGATCGCCTACTAGTCGAAAGTCCAGAAAGTTACCAATGTCCATTTAATATTCTTTCTTCATGTATCCAATTGATCAGGTTCCAATCAGGTTTGTAAGAAGTCCTTGAGCCAATGAGAGGGCAGAAGAGTTCTCTACAATTAAAAATAGGAGATCAAATCGAGTATGCCTTTCAGAAAGATACTCATTTGGCACCACTCTGAGAGACAATATTCAGGTATTTAGAGAAAGGATTTCCTTGATTAGTTTCCATAGACTGATACACCAAAAACAAGAAGACCGAAACAACAACAAAGAGAAGAACTTTTATCCATAGGGGAATGGAGTGTTCTTTTTTTGGTGGTGGTTTTTCAGACTTGATGTCAGTTGAGGTACCATATTTTGAAGCATACTTAGAGAAAGTTTCCTCCATTTTGAAGTCACTGTGCTCTATAGGCCGGCTAGCAGCTCCTTTGATGGGTCTACGGCAGCTAGCACTGTTAATTTAAAAAAAAAAAAGAAATAAAAAACTGCATATTTAAAAGAGCAATCCAATCTATACAGGAAAGTTTTCATATAATTAAAGAATTAAAAATTGTTTCTAGTGAATACAGTACTGGAAACGTCTGTCTCAAACCCGAAGGCATCTACCATTACTGTATTTAATCATTTAGTGTTCAAACAAACACCCCTTTAAAAAAAAAAAAAAAAAAAAAACACTCAACTACCACTTCACCCTATCCACATAATCATAGAATGGTTTGAGTTGGAAGGGACTTTCAAGATCAACTAGTTCCAACCCCCCTGCCATGGACAGGGACACCTTCCACTAGACCAGGTTGCACAAGGCCCCATCCAATGTGATCCTCAACACCTCTGGTGATGGAGCATCCACAACTTCCCTGGGCAACCTGTTCCAGTGTCTCACCACCCTCACAGCAAGTAACTTCTTCCTTAAGATCTGATCTAGATCTACCCTCTTCCAGTTTTTAAAAAAACTACCCCTTGCCCTATCACTACAAGCCCTTGTAAAAAGTCCTTGCCCAGCTTTCTTGCAGGGCCCCCCCCGATACTTTGAAGGTCACAGCAAGGTCTCCCCAGAGCCTTCTCTTCTGCAGGCTGAACTCAGCTCATACAAGAAGTGTTCCAGCCCTCTGATCACCTTCGTGGCCCTCCTCTGGACCCGCTCCAGCAGGTCCCTGTCTTTGTGCTGGAGACTCCAGAGCTGGATGCAGTACTCCAGGTGGGGTCTCACAAGAGCATCAGTGATCAATGCAATCAATGGATCGTAACTCACAATAAAACTCTAGGAAGTGTCTCTCTATATTTGCATGTTTAATAATCACTTATGCAGCCCCACTGAGATTTCTAAACCTGAAATTGTCCCTGGCCATTAAATTATCTGCTGATGGCTAAGCCTATACACAAGGCCAGAAAACAAAGCAGTAAGGGATACGAAAGCCACATACATTGCCAAGTTCTTATATACAAGGAGCACAAATGCATTATTATTTTTAAAAGCAGTATAGATTTAACTACAGTGAAAGACCTCAAAACAAGAGGGAAATCTGAGTGGTGAGCAGATACACCACAGAAGTAGTAACTGGTATCATATATTCTTATGTATACAGAACAGAAGAGCTTGGTGGTCATCTCAACTGTCATTGAGCCAGAGTGCAAAAACTGCTCCTCAGAAATCTACCAATATAATGAAAAGATACTTCTCAGTTTAAATTGGTTTACAAGAACTGAGAAACAAGGCTCCATAAACCTCAGAGATACCTAATTCCTGTGGGCGTCGATACTTCATACGGGAACATTTCCTTAAGGATATCCCTTTCTGCTCTTCGTTCTTCTGCAGGGATTCTCTCCAGCACCTAGAAAACCAGAAGCAGTTATAGGCCTAACAGACCACAACACAAGAAGCCCCCACACAGCCATCCCAGTGACCATAACCATGTGCGATTTCTAAGAATGGATGAGTCACCCAGTGACATTCAAGAAGGTTACTTCTTGTGTTCTGAAAGTTAGTTTAACCTTTGGTAGTGGCAGCTGTCTTGTCACTTTTAGTGTCTTAAAGCACCGAGTGTTCTCCTCAGTTTCCTTTAAGACAAAGAATGTTTTATAAATACAATCCACTTGCCAGCCAATGACATAGATGATAAAAAAACTTTTAACCACCACCTCTATCATGGCTGTGTTGAGCACATCACAGGATTGGTTGTGGACAACACGGTTAAAAAAGCACTGATGTGGGCGATCTGCCTCTTCTTGCTGTAATAAACAATGCCACAGTACAGTAAAATACTAAGTGAAAAAATACTTAAGCAGTCTGACATCATGTCAAGTTTTCCCATAACCTTTTACTTGACAGCTGAGTCTATGACTGGACTATATTACAAACAAATACAACAGCCCATTTCATAAATTTCAGACCCACTAGTAAATACACTTCACAAGTGTAAATAAGTTTTACCTACAGTAACTACAGGAAACAATGAATTCAATTTAAATTCAGCCAAGTATCATCTTGTATAAAATTCCACAGTATTACAGTTCTACATCAATACAATTACATATACTTGCAAGTGCTTTAGACAATTTTCTAAGACATTATTTTGACAGCTTGAATAGGTTAACAGTAAAAGAATTCTCTTCTTTCTTAACTGATAGGAATATACAGTGGCTTTTTAGATTCAGGCTTTTGGTCTAATATAATCCTACTATTTGATTCCCTAAATTAAGGCACATTGTGGTTTTTCAGGATAGGCTGATGTACAAGATCAAAGGTAGGTAACACAATTGTGCCCTATCTTTGAGCTATTCAAAAGAAGAAAAACAGTCCTCTGTATTTTGTTCAATAAAATAGCAGCACAAAGAGAAGCAACACACCAAAAGATAGTTGGCTTAGGGGGAAAAAAAAAAAAAAAAACAAACAGGATTTACACACACACACACACCCAGAGCCCCCAAGTATGAAAGCGGCAGATAAAACTATATTTTCTTGTTTACGCCATGCCACAACACTAGTTTATTTCGAATAACGGGACCTGGGCAATGAAATTCTCCACCCCTTCTGTACTAAGCAGTAAGCACATACACACAAGAACCATGTTCACAGAGAGTAAGCAATAGGAATCCAAGTTTTAATTTATTTACTTCAGCTGTCATCAGTGGTTTCTTTGGTGTTCTTCTGGGCAAGTCTGAGAGTTCACTGATAGACAGCGTAGGAGATGCATGCTTGAAATTTCCAGGCACCCTATTGACAACCTGCCGAGATTCAAAATTGTTCACACTCAGAATCAGCCAAAATAAAAAAATAAAAGGGGAAAGGTGACAGAATAAAACAGCAAATCCTTTATGTGCATTGAATATATTCATGTCAGGAGTTAACTCAAGGTTAGGTAACAGATACTGACATAAGCAGGGGAAACATTGCTTATTATTCCAAGCAGTTTCTTTTAAGCCATTAAGAAATTTAAAAGCTATTTAGTTCACAAGAAAAGCCAAGATAAAAGCAGATAGTCCGCATATACTTAAATTCAGAAAAGATTTAAGCCCTTCAAGTGGCCCTTTTTGACCCTCCCACCCGAAAGACATTAGATGGGACCTAAGTGTCTACCCTAGTCCCATCTCAAAGTGAACAGCATTCGGTACTAATATAGACACTGAATATGTGGTTTCAAAGACTACTAGTCTTGCTTTGTTCAAAACAGAATGATTCTGTCAATAAAGATATCACAGAAGAATACCCCTTGCATGATTCATTAAACGTATTTACTAAGCATATTTACTAGAGTCTCGTTGCTTGCAGTCAATATAGTTTCAGCTATGGGAGTACTCTCTGATATTACAGCATCATCTACAGGCAACTGTGCTGTAGCCTCCACCTGTTTGTTTAAAACAAACAAAAGAAAACAATTGAATAAAATAGCCACTGGGACCCTAACAGTGAGAAAAAGCTTGTCTATTATAATAAGCCTCTCATCACCCTTTTCCTTGGTGTTCTTCTTGACACTCTTGTAGACTCTCTAGAAAATGCCTGCAGAGGTCCACTTTTTGAAGATCCACTTGTCCAGACAGTTTCAGTAACTCCATCTTGAGAATAGGTCTATTCAAGCATCAAACACATAGTCAAATACATGAAAGCCAGCTCTCAACATTGGATATCCACAACCAAAAGCCAGAATAGCAAGCATACTCCAGAAGCAGTGTGGCTGTGTCTACAATCCAAGAAAAAAAGTGGATTGCATTATACATTCAGTAACAAAGAGCTAGCTAGATTAGTTGCCCTGACCACAATACTTACATTAGAGCACATTATCATTCCAATAAAAAACTGACTAGATAATGCCCAACACTAACAACTGATAATTTGTGCACTGCAATAGAGTGAACTAACTAATGCTAAAAGTACATCAGGTCATGGAGAGCAGTGGGCAGAAGATATAGTGGACCTGAAAGCTAGTGTATTACACGCCTACAAAAAGAAAACACCTATGAGCACAAGCGGAAGCCATCTTCATGTTCTCTATCCAGATAGGAGTATATTCTGTCAGGCAGAGATGGGAATGGCTTAGGCCCCACCACCTACATTTTAGTGGGAACTGATCTCCAGCCACAGAATACAGGGGGAGATGTTTTATAACCTTAAAAGTTTCCACAAACAAAGGAAACACAAGCTTCATATAACAGTAGGTTTAAACAATCAGGCCTAACACAGCTCTTTATAAATCTCAGTAACAACATGAGTCTATTAACAAATGCAGATTATTCTCTATGCCTTATTGCCTGCTCTATGCTCAAAGAAAAATTCCTTCTTGAAATTTACTCCAAACAGATCTGGAGGGAAAGGGAGATGAAGATCTGCCCCACCTAGATTAGAAGCAAGATTTTCCTTTTATTTTGGTTACATTTAAAAATAATTATGACTTTGCTAGTACTGCAATCTTTGCACATTAACAGCATTAACAGCTCATGGACTGATGTATTGCCAAGTTTTTTGAAATTAAACTCAGTGTTGATGCAAGTTATACAGACTGGTGTAACTGTCAGTTACAGGTCTAACAGCAGAAATCATTTCACTAGAACAGTATTAGCCCCAAAACAATGTGTTAAGTAAGCAGGCTGGAAAGTACTTATTTATCAAGGGCCAGTGGGGAAACTAACAACGGCTTTATCCTTCCCTCACTTGTATCTTCAAAGTTACTCCAGTGAAACCAGAAGCTGGGCAACTTTATGATTCTTAACAGAAGTTCTGCATTACAACTGCTACATATCCAGCAGAGGGAGCACAAGCATTGCGCTTTACTCCAAAGTCACTGAAATACTGATAACCAAATTATGTGTACTTATGCATAGACTTCAAGTCCAAACAGATTCAGGTGTTTCATATAAAATTGCAGATTTCAGCCTAAGTCTCCAATATTCCTTTCAATTTAAACAGCCTAAGCTTAGCTTGTACGCGTCAGTTGTGGCTCCCCTCCTCACCTCCCTACACTTTCTATTTGAGATGTTCTTTAGCAGCTTAGAGAAAAACTCAGATTTCAGAGTGGTTCCACTCAAACACATTCCACTCAAGAAAGCAATAACACAATTACCTCATCCTACTACTGGCAAGCTCCCCTGCCCCAGGCTGTTTCACTAGGAACTAGTTTTCTTTTAATGGAAAGTTAAAATTACTTCAGTAAATAGCCCCCCCCCCCCTTAGTTCTTCAGATGCTTGTCAGACATGCATTTTAAATACCAAGTTTCACTGTTTTTCTTGCATGAAAAGTCTAGGAAAAACCCAGAATCTACTGCATAAGACCCATTCAGTCTTCAGAGATTATTCAACAGACAAAATGTTTAAAAAAAACCACAACTGTTGTTCAGTTATAGTTATCTTCACTGTCAATTAAACAGGCCTTATCTGCTTATCCCACAAATACCTGAACTAAGCAGACCCTATCAGAATGTAATACTCATGTTCAGGTACACCAACACCCTGTATATAACAAGAGAAAGCTATAATGGTGTGTCACACAAGTACTATTCACTATGTGCTTTTAACAGTTCCATTACTCAGGAGCAGTGAAGCTGTAGCTGATGATTTTACCTCAGCTACTGCTAAACAGGTGTTTTTACTTTATTTGCCACACCACATTTGGATGCCAACAGCTGCAATGCCGCATGTTTTTTTTTTAAAGAAGCCCAGCTATACAAGTAGCCAAAAAAACACAGGGAGGAATAACAGAACACAGCAAATGCCATGTGTCACTATAGAAAGGCTTAAGGAGAGAAACTAGTTCTGCACTAGCTAGGACTGGTTAAAATTTAAATTGTTTAGCCTGCCTCTTTCTGTCCAGTGCCATTTACTGTGAGGCCTTAGGCTCAGTTCTCAACTCTACATTTACTGACCTGATTGGAAGGGGGCATTCAAATTAGGGTTTTCTTCCAATTTTTCCAATTCACTATGAGGAGGCAATTAAACACAAACAGCGAAGCTCAAATTCACCTAGCCCTCCACTGCTGACTGATAATACCCATAAGCCTGCTTAAGCTCCCCACCCAATTTTTTCTGCACCAGCCTGCTTAAAAGACGACTTGCACTCCTAGCAGAACAGCAGAACCCATCCATGACAAATGACACACCGTGCATCTGTGTACATCTGGACTGAGACTAGGGCTGTGTGGGACCTAGAAATGACTAACAAGTCTGCTCACATCACCAACCAAGTCAGCCCCACCACTCTTCAAAGCCTCAGTCTTTGCGCTAATGCTGCACAGCGCACAGTAGTCGTGTATAATTCCACTAAATAAGTATGGTCACTTGAAACATTACCTGCAAACTTAAGACCCAATTTCAAAGGAAAAGAAAACCACCTGTTATTCTTAGCAAAATACATGACTACACACATTTGCTAGCCAAAACCATCGAGATGTTCTTGGCTTCAAGCAGCCGTAAATTTTTGTTAGTGTTTTTTAAACACAGCAGTCAAGAGTTGAAAGGTAAAAGATTTAACAAGCTAGAGTTAAGAGTTCCTGAAGAATCTGGCATAATTTTGAAATTAGATCATTTTTGATTAATCAAGTGATATTCCTCTGAATAACTACTGGTAATTAAAATATGCAAGTCACAAAATAATGCACCTCTACTGCACAGGTAAAAGACTGCAAGACAAAACACAGTAATAACCTAAGGTTACTAGAATGAAATCAGATCATAAAGAGTAAGCACTCAACACTTGAAAATGCCACAAAAATACACCACTGTACATTTTCCGTTTTATTCTGTATGTGGGTTCCTCAAGACAAGAATCTTTGTTGGTAGCTGAATTAAATACCTCTATTACACTGAGGCTAGCAAGGATTTCTGGGTGAATAATGATGCAGAAAAAAGTAATCTTTAAAATACTAGAACATCAAGATTCAGATGCTCAGTATAAAGACCACCATGAGCCAAAGATGCTTGAATAAATTAAGGAATATTTTTTTGTTTTGTTCTGATTTGTAAAAGTGTAATCTATTCAGTCTGTACCCTAAAAATCCCATTAAGAATAATAACCAGTTATGAATCTCCATAACTGTGTTGTATTACCCAAGCTCACACAGCAGTATTACCTGCTTTAAGAGACACCTATAGTGAAAGCATGTTTATACATAGATACACACTACTAAAACAGTAAGGATCTGGCATTTACCATAAAGTAGTGAGAAAAGTCACTGATCTGCTAAAATACATCAAGTTATTAACAGGTCAGGTTTTGAGCCACTGACTGTTTTCTGTACGAATCCTTTACTGTAGCACAACTCCACCACTTATTGGTCAGATGAGTAACACTGTAAAGATTCTAAGTAACCAAAGCTGGGGAACAGGGTATTTAGAGACACAGTCACATCACCAGGACAGATCAGCCACCAACTACTGAATTCAGTTTTCAGCCAGCAGTTTGAAAACCTGAGATGCTTCTGTAACATCCCTTTTTCACCAAGACAACAGAACTAATATTATTTATATGTAAAGGACGAGTAGTGCATACAGCAAGACTGAAACTTGTTACTACTTTTCTTCTTAGGAGAAGCTTTCCAACAAATTAATGTTTAAGTCTAGTACCACTGCTACAAGCATATTTGATGAAAAATATCACACAGATAGCTAGTGCATGTGTGTACACACACACATATAAAATCATAAGCATCTACAGAAGTACCTTCTTCCAAAGTTTTGGTGGTTTTGTTTGGTGTTTTGTTCGCATGCGGGCTTGATTTGTTTGGTGGGTTTTTTTGGGGTTTTTTTTTTGTTTTTTTTTTTTTTTTGTGGGTTGGTTTAGTTTAGAAACTGCTTCTTTTATTGAATCAGGTAGTTTAAAAACACCCAACAGGATGACATCAGCCCACCTGACTGTAAAACCTGTCCGTCTTCCAAAACTAAACATGTTACAGTTGCCTACTATTTTTCTCTAAGAGGTGCTACAGGAGCTGGCAAGTCAGACAAACAGCTTTTAGCAGACCACAAGTCTGAATGTTATCAGACAGCCTAAAAACAGCAGCAGGTAAAGTTAATTCACAAGATTGTCATGCTTTCTGAAAGAACTTTTAAAATACAGCACAGCCAACTCAGTCAAAAGCGATGCTGCCAAAAGTAGTAAAATGTTTAGTGAGTGCATCACCTGCAGTTAGTAGCTGTCCCAGGTGCCATTAAATTAAACATACCTGGTTGTGTTCAACAACTCTTCTTTGTTTGAGTGCTACTGGAGTCTTCATCCTGGCTTTTAATGGTTCTCTCTTCTCAAGCCTCAGCTCAGTCTTCGGATCTGCAACCAGTTTTAATATAACTAGTTTCGATAGAGCTACTAGTTGTTGTACTAGTTTAAACCATTTGTATTTTTGAAGAATAACCTAAAAATTATTTTAAAACACTGGTCCAGTTTTGTCCTAAAACCCCTACATTTAAGTTTTGATCGATCCAGCAGTTCCATTTATAAAGTGGTATCAAGCTGTAGTTACTTTAACCATAGTACCATTACACTATTGATTGTAGTAAGGGTATTGAAACTTTTCAACACTGTTTAGGCTATTAGTTTTGTTTCTTTTAAAAAAGGTCCTTTTACAAGAAGGGTGAGTGGTTAGCAGGCACCTCACCAGTAAGATGATGTATTATCTGCACACCTTTTGTAAAATTCTAATAGCATTACATCAAAATTGGAGTTTATTTATATAAACCTTTTCTCTGGCAGGTTTTTTTCCCCCACCCCCACCCCCACCCCCAGTGTCTGAACAGTTTGGTAACTAGATGAAGCATATGTAAGGATAAAGAGATAGCTGTCAGTTGTGATCAGGCTCTTGGATGTCCTAAAAATAAATTAAATCTCTAACATCCCTTTCCCCTCCACCCCCCAAAAGTGCTAGAGATTAAAGTTCAAAAACAAGCCCAAATATGCAAGGGAGAACCCATCAAGTTCCTGGTTCTACCTCAACCGTTTCTGTCCTATGTCCATGGAAGTTCCTGTAAGAACAACAACAAGAAGTCCACCTGCAAAACCAAACGTGTTTGGTTTGTTTCTGGGGGGTGCTGGTAGCAGGGAAGGAGGCTACTAGCATTGCTCCTGCAAGAAGCTTCAGGAAGCTTCCCCAGCACCAAGTCAGACCTGCTTCTGGCCAAGGTCAAGGCAATCAGCACCTCTGAGATAACATATTTAAGAGGGCAAAACCTGTTGGGCAACTTTTTGTTGTTGTTTTGGGACCTCCATTTGGACACTCAGGTGAGTGAGGAGGGGGTGGGGGAGGCATGCCAGAGCAGCCATTCAACTTCAGCATAGTGAGATGGCAGCCTGAGTCCCTGCAGCCTTTAAGGAGATCAACAGTGGAGAAAAGTCACTTCTGCAGCCTGTGAAGGACCCCACACTGGAACAGGGGACTGATCTTGAACAAAGCTGTGATTCTGAGGGGCACCCATGCTGGAGTGCCTGGTCACTGGGAGAACTGCAGCCCACAGAAGAGAGCCAAGGTGGAAGGAGAAGCCCATGGAAGACTGTCTCCTGTGAGAGGGATACCACATAGCCACAGGAAAACTCGCAGTCTTCCCCAAGGGGAGGGGAGGACCGTAAGGAGGAAGGAGGGGCAGGAACAATATGGAATTAACTGGGACTGACTGCAGCTCCCATTCCCTGCACCCCAGAGCTGCTGGGGGAGGAAAGCAGATAGAGCTGGACCCAAGAAGAAGGGAGAGGTGGGGGGAAGGGTTTTATTTAAGATCTGGTTGTATTTATTATTGACCTACTCCGATTCAGCTGATGAACTGGTGGTGGTTTTCTCTAAATTAAACTGATTGTTTCCACCAAGTTGAGTTTGTCTTTTGCCATGATCATAACTAGTAAGTGAGCCCTCCCTGTCCTCCCTTTATCTTGACTTTTGTTGCATCTCCTCCCCATCCTACCTGAGGGACGTAGGAGAGAGTGAGCAGCTGCATGATGCTTTGTTGCCAGCTGGGTAGGCTCAAACCACAACACAAAAGCACACAAAATAAGCATCTTCTAACACTCAAGACTCTCTTTAAAGAGCTTGTACTGTTTTTACTTTTTGTCAGATGTATGATGGTGTGGTTTATTTTCCACTTACTCCACCCCTACACTTTGATATAAATCTGATATTAAAATCAGAAAAAACATACCCAAGATCAATCAACCCACTCCAAAAGAAGTCTATTAGGAAGAGAGTATAAAAGCAATTGTGTCATACATGACATACATTAAACAAAAAAAGTACAGAAGTTTAAGAACCAGTCATACACTACCCCATAGTAAGTAACTACTGCGAGTACTGTAAAAAATTGCACCAGCACTTAGATGAAGTGCAAAGAACACTGAAGACTTTAACATGGTTCTCCTACCTATCAATTTACAGCCTCCAATCTAAGGAAAATGGACAAAAGGGAACAGCTTAGTAGCTAAGTTTCCTTTCCCAGAACAGGCACCTGGATCACTGTGCTAGTACTGTATGAACAAGTACATGATTCACATGGCCCACAGCAGTATCTTAAAGCCTCACCTAACATCAAGATCACACCCTCTTTAGATATTTCTTCTATCACGAGTATTACTGATGTGTAATTTGAACATGCAAGTTCCACTTAAGTCTTACCTTCTTCGTTGTCACTGTACTGGTCAGAATCACTATTTCCATTCTGTCTGGTGTTCTCAGCAGTTGAGGAAATCTCTGGGAGGGGCACAGGTGCCTTCTGTTCCGGACCTTGCTCCATCAGTTTCAAAAGTTTCTTCTCATAAAGTTTCCTAGTGGTAGCTATAACAATGAAGGATACATGCTAAAGATGCAGTTTTCACCTTTCCTGACTTGATTGCTAGAACTTGGCTGCTATACATTCCTTTGGAATCTCTGAGCATATGTTTGTTTGGGTTTCTTTTTATTTTTAATCTGTCTGTATGGCCCTGTCCTGGTTTGGGGTAGAACAGAACTAATTACGTTCAGTGATTTTACTTTTCAGCTAAAGCTCAACTCCAAAAAGTGCAGTTAGCGAGTAAACAGCATATTTTCGCAGATAGTGTCTGCTTCCAGCAGTGATAACACTCCGTGTTTAGGGTTACCACCAAGGCCTGGTGTGCAGACCAAGGTCACTGCTAAATCTTGTGTGCCACACTGAGGGGTGCAAAAAGGAAAGGCCACACCTGCAGGCAGGATCAGACAGGACAGGTGATTCTAAATAGACCAGTGGGGTATTCCATCCCATATCCATCATATTCAGTATAAAGCTGAAGGATCATGAGGGTCAAGTCCCATTCCTTTCTTTTGTTCCTTCAATGGCTGGCATCCAAGCAGGACTCCGTCCATTCTGCTGTTGACCCTAATCTTTGTGTTCCTGAATCCGGCTCCTGTACCCAGCTGCCATCTGCCACTGAGTCCAGTCTAGGACTTTTTTCCAGGGCCTGCTCCACAGCATCAGGGGTGATGGTGACATATTGCCATCGGGGTGGTTGGGTTTGATACTGGTTTCGTACATATTCCATTTTTTTATTATTATTCTTGTTTTCATTAAAGCTGTTTTACTTCTCTAATCGATAAGTCTCTCTCCCTTATTCCTTTTCCCCTTTTGGGGGGAGAGGGGCTAACAGAGAGTGTCTGTTACAGGTCTGGGGACAGCTGTGATCCTAAACCACATACCTCTAGATATAACTCTACCTCTAATGCTTTTAACATTTTATCTTAAGTATACTCTTAAGGCAAACTTAGATGGGTTGGTACACTGAAAGTTACAAGCATTTACCTATGGAACAGAAACCTACCTGCTTCTCAGATATTTTCTTTCCTGTGCTGCGATACACAAAATGTTATGCCCTCACAAAAAATTTAGGGAGACTGATATTGCAAGGGCAAGTTTCCACACAGATTCTTCAATTATCCTCTTAACCCCTTTACCCTGGAATTAACATCCCTTCCCCCTTAGTTTAACCTTTGCCCTGTTGGGAAATTCAGTCCAGTAGCATCAGAGGTGGTGCAAGTAAGCAGCAACAACAGAACCTCCCGTTTGCTGCATCTAGCCATCAGGTAGGCTTGCTTGCTTGAGGAGTAGGACAGGTCCTTACTAAGAAGACAGCTGTTTAAAAAGTATCACATCTAGCACATACTTGTATGTCAGGACTCTGCTGGCAGAAGTCTGTACAAGTGACTGGAGCTGTGGAAAGGTCTAATCTTAAAAGGCTTCAGGAAAGAAGGAAGCCACTCAAAAAAACAAGTGTCAGATTCTCACATGAAACAGAATCCATACCTTCTGTGAATGACAGCTTTTACTCAGACCAAATCTGAACTTTCCAGTGGACTGCTGTGAAGGACCGAGCCATGAATGTTTGTCTCAAAGATAGCCTTGGATGGAGGACTGGACTTGAGGAGCTGTGTGAGCTGGGCAGAACATGTCTGGGCATGCACCATGCTGAGAGGAGCCGAGCACGTGTGTGAGTCACGGGCTGTTCCAGAGGACCCCCAGGGCACACCGCCAGCCTGCCCCCTACCCCTCCCCCGCCCGGGGATGTGCAGGGGACGCGCCCCGTGCCCAGGGCCCGGCAGCCCCTCTGCCTGGGGTCACGCAGGGGCACCATGAGCAGGCGACACTCATGTGGTACCTGCATGGACCTGAGGACTCGTGACGTCAGTTCCCAGCTCGGACCCTATCAAAACCAGCGTGGACACTGCTCTGTCTCTTTTTCTTGACCTGCCCAAGGGAACTTTTTCCTTCTCCTGCACCTGCTCACAGCTCTCCGGCCTGCTCGCCGCCTCACTGCTGCTCCACCGCCCACCCCCGAAGCTGAGATGGCTCCAGCCCGACGGTGCGCTGCAGGCCCGTGGTGGTAAATGCTCTGGCGAATCTCTACCCACCTCTTGCTTGATTCCTGCCTTTTATTTTCACTCTGTCCTATCACTACTCTTTTCTAACATTTTTATCTTTTTTGTAATACAAGCTGTGTTGGGTATATGGCATTTGACCTCACTTGTGTCTTAATCTCACCTCCTGGGATCATATCGAAAACTCCCTCGCCATCAGATCAGGACAACTCCATAGGTACTTGAATTTCTCAGAACACTTGAGCATTATCCAAGAGGAACGGGTTGAAGGGTGAGGCAGACAGAAACAGGTACGAGCAAATATTATGCATAAAACTTGGAATACGTACGAGACTACAGGTTCCATCCACCCATCAGGATTTCAAGAACATTCCACAAAAGGCTAAGCATGCTCCAGGTGACCATCTTTTCTTGAAGAATTGTGAAATCAAAGTCCCTTACCATTAGCCTAGTGAAAGGTATCTGAAAGGTAAGGAGCTTTGATCCCACATCAGAGATGAGTGCCCAAAGCAAGAGATTAAGCTGGAGTCAGGACTTCTCCTGACCTAAGGTAGCACACAGAACAGAACACTAACTTCAAGGGGCTGGGGCCGCAGGGGGTGATGAGGGGCTGGAAATCAGCAAAGGAACACATTGCTTCACAACACAGTGAGTAGGAAATGCTCTAGGGAAGGGTAAGTTCCATACTCTCATTCTGCTCTCAATGCTCTTAGGTTATTATGTAAGCCGTATTTTCTATTTAAGCAGGCACCAGATCTCAACTTCTGTATCAGAAGACCTAATTACCCCAGCACTGAACTCTAATATTCACACAGCTTCAGATGCTGGAAAACCTCCAGCTGGCTTAGAATACAAGAGGAACAATAAACTGTGGACTTGCCTACCCTGCAATGCTTCAAGTCTTGGTCTTTTCCAGTCTAAACAAATCTATGATTCTAGTGGTAGACTTGGCAGCTAGGTTAATGGCTGAACTCAATGATCTGAAAGGTATTTTCCTACCTAAACGATTCTGTGATTCTGTAAGTCTTCTCAATGTAAACAGTTCATGGAAAGTAGGACTGCAATTATACTGGCACTAAACTTCATAAGCAACTAATGATAAGCTTGGAGCAATCAGAACTGATGTTTAGCAAGAAATATGTTCAACAGATTAATACCTGTTAGTTCAGTTGACCTACCTACAATCGGGCCAGGATTTACTCCATACTTCACAAGTTGCTCTTGAAGATCTTCATTACTCATCTCTGTTATATCTAGGTCATCCTTCTCATCTGGCCTGGGTTTGTCCGTTTTCTTTGTGGCTTTCTGCAAGTGCATAAGGGAGAAACAAAAGACAGAATGCTTCTAGTTAATACAGAACACATTTTTCTTCTAAAGGAACAGGAAGATGAGTCCTAAATATAGAAACCCAGTACAGGTGATTATATTCTCCACCACCACCAAAGCCTATGTGAAACACTTCAAATGTTTACACCTACTAAACAAACACAAACTACTTAGATAAGGAAATACAAATTACAAGCCTCCTCTGTACTAAAACACAAAAACCAAAAGAAACCCAAAACAACAACAAAAAACCCCACACCTTTCTCATTATTCAGATCCTGTGTTTTAATTTGAACTTCAAGCATATAGCAGGAAAGGATTTCTTTTCTATGACTGGAGACATAAGCTCCCAGCTGTTTCACCATCTACTAAGCTAGAAATATTTATGTTCCATTGTTATTTCTCAACATTATTCTTCCACCTAGTAGGTCAACACTTCTTCCCCGAATGATGTGGAACAAGTTCTTCAGTACGTACACCCTCTCAACCAAGTTCTCAAGATCTCCATTTGCACTTATTCTGGTGTTCTCTGTAATGATGTTACAGAGTCAGTTCAGGACAAAATCACAAACACCTGAAATTTTCAAAGTCTTGCATGTCTGCTTAGGCCTCTGCTACTGTAGCTCTAACAAATCCTAAACCAAATGCTGACAACACCACTTAAAACAGTTGGCAACACACCACCACCACACACAGATGGTTATCAAAATAATCTGTCAAGATTGTACTCCTAAATTAGCAGTTTCCACTATATCTAAACAGAGTGATCATAACATTTGAATAACTTCTGTAGCCTTTGTAACCACAACAGACATTTCAAAGACTAAATGCCTCCTCACTCTTACAGAGACAAGATGGGAAAAAGTGTGTAAGATCTCCTTGCTCTCAACTAAGATCTTGATACTGCTTGAAATAAGTCACTCAAAGCTGTCAGATATTAACAGACACCACTTGTGAACTTAAGTTTCTCGATTCAGTTGCTCTGAGGGCCTGAGCTTTCTGGTCATTACCAAAGACTAAAATTCCAAACATGAATCTAGTACTCACAATTAACAGGTTGGGTTTGTGTTTTGTTGGGTTTTTTTTTTGTTTGTTTCTTTTTTTTTTTCCCCCTTTTTTTCCCCTTATTGTATTTAGTAAGACAGCCTAAGCAACTTTTAAGATTGATATCAGTCAACAGTATCTACACAGCCAGTAATCCCAATTAATACCTGGTTTGTATGTAAGCATGGTCTTGCCTCAAGTATCTTGATATTTTAAAGCTAAACAGGGATTTTGTGAGATTTTCCCAAATATTACCAACTCCTTCATTAAATTAGATTTTCCTCCTGGATTGTTAAAATCGTAACATGGTCAACTCAAAAACAGATGATAAAAAGCAACAGGATCTCCAAGAGTTCATGCTATTGATTAATTCTAAGAAATAGACTCCAAGCACTCTGAAGAAAGGACATGATCACTGAAGGGGCAGACTTGACAAATGACAGATTTACAGTACACTTTACCATTCCTTTATCACATAAAAATCTAATTAGTTTTTGGAGCAACTGAGCTTACTTACCTAGTACACAAAGCAACCACCAACCTGTAGCTATAGGAGACCTGTATTTGTTTTTGAATGTGTTGGCCATAACACCATTTCAAGTTAAGTACCACATTAACAAGAATTTCATATTCAGTGATTTTTTTTTCTCTTGGACCATTTAACTTCTTCTTACAGTGTTACCATATATTGATACCATCAGAATAGTCCGTTTCAGCAAAGAAGGGCAGGTAAGGAATGAAAAGTTGAAGGTAATCTCTGCTTATCAATAATATGCATCGATTACCTTGGTTTCTGTGAGGTCTTCAACTTTTGAGTAACTATCCTCCCTAACCCAGAACCAAAATTACTTCATTTGTAGAAGCAGAAAGCTGCCTTTTAATCACTCACTGGACCAAAAGATCCATTCCTAGAAGCACAAGGCAGGAAAGGAGAACTCTACCACCTTGGCTGTGGTATGACAGCATTAACCTCAGCTTCAATTACCACTACTATTGTAGTATAAAGCACCACAACACTTCCTGTGCCTTACAACTTATCCACAGGACTACCTGGTGAGACAGATCAAAAGAGCTAGCTTTAAAATTTATCATTGCAAATTAAAACAAAACAAAATACCACACCCACATTTTCCTCATCTGATGACCATTAGTAAAATTAAATGTGGTGCAGAAGTGAAGTGCTTAAAATTAAATTTCCAGTGAGCATCAGGACTTGCTGAAGTAAGGTGGTGCAGCTGACCACTTGGCACATAATATAAATATTCTTGCAATACTATACCCAGACCAATAAATCCTTAACTGAAAATCTAATCCCATCCAGAGCTAGCAACATTAAAACAACTTTTCCAGTCATTGCCATTTTCTAGGAAACAGAAGATGGAAGATAACCTGCATGCTTCAATTGAGAGAGGCTGGTTCACACCACAGAGATGGCAATTTGGTAGCATATCTGTCAAGCAAGTACTGAAGTGAATTATAAGCATGGTGTTCCTACACAGCGTTCTCAGTTTCAGGGCCATGGGATAAAAAGAGCATAAGAAGTTTATCTTCTTAGAGTATCATCTTTCAACAGCCACAACCTTTGCCTTCCTTAACCAAGAAGGCCAGAGAAGCAGAAAACGCAAGTGTTGAGAATTCAGACCCAGAAGCTATCCCTTACCTCATCTTTGGCATTTCTACCAAACAGAAACCCACCAGGCACAGACCAGGTTATCAGACAAGCTTTATGGGTACATTTACTAGTTCTAACACTACTCCAAAGACAAGCATATGCAACATCTTGAAGCAACCATTAAATAATGTAACTGACAACTGTGAGACATCAAAAGAAGCACTTTTAAATCCCAAGTTAAATGGCACCTACATTAGGATATCCAAAGGCTTTAATCCCAAACAGGTGCAGCTTCATCACAAGAAGCAGAAAGGCTCAAGGCTTCTTTACTATTTCTCTGAATGAGGTTAAGACAGGCTAAGAAAGCCCAAATCATAACAACAGAATGCTCTGTAATTCTCCAGTGTCCCCTCCGGTAACAACTGTACTTCTCTTAGGGCAGGGGAGGTAAGGAACCACACATGCGAAGTCTCAACAATAGATTTATGCTGTGAAATACATAGGTCTCCATTCCCCTTGCACTTTATATTCTATTATTTATCCTGCATTAGAATTTACTTTTTTTAAAACACAAGTCCTACTGAACTTTTTAACCTCAAATACCTTGAGAAAATAAACAATAGAAAGGAAATTATGTAGCAGCAATTCAGAGATAATGATACATGCAACTTTAAGAATTCTCTACCTTTTAACCTTAGTTACTAAGTCCCAGACTTAGAATTTCCAAGCCTATGTACAATAACAGTCCTATATCATAAGATTAGGGACTACTTAACTCTCCCCATCCTTTCCTCCCCCTAGAAACAAAATTCCATGTTACTCAGTGAAGGGAATGTACCAACTCTGAAAACAGATGAATGCTGCATAATGACAAGTTGTTTCCAAAGAACCTAAGTGAAAGAGTAAATCTTCACACCACCACCACACACACACACAAAAAATAATCAAGAAATCAAACTAACAGATTGCCTCACAGCTGAATCAACTGAATGCTGACCTGGAGAAATGGCTTGTGTATGTGGCCCTACTGAACAAGTGACATGCACTGCTAGACAAAAATTACTGCAGCAGTTTTATTTTATGTAAATACAAGAGCCATTACTACACCAGCATCCCAACAAGCAGGTCTCCCTAGTTCACGAGTCCAGAACTGCAGGAAGTCTGAAGGCACAGAACAGTATGGCAGGACTTCTCACTGCGGCAGGAATTATTCAGCCACCTCACCCCCACTGTCCACACCTGTCACTCAGACAGCAGATGATTGCCATTTAAAAGGCCACAAAGGTGTTAATCTGTATTCCAGGTCACATTTGTACAGCACATCACAGTTAAGAGATACAGCCACACAGGACACACTAAATACAGTTCTCTTCCTTCACTGGGTAGCACATAGGCTTCACATTCCCTCACCTATCTGAGCATGCAGTTTCACCTCCATCACTCCTAATCTTCACAAACTACAGTTTTACTATTACCTTCCCTTTACCAGAAGGAAAGGGGTAGAAAGCATACAGTTACCTCAGCTACAGATATTACTACCACACCATTCTCACCATAAAGAGCTGGAGCTAGCTCTTAATTTACTTGGCTACTTGATTAAAAAGAAAAAAAATCCCAAACACATCTTTAGCTCATAGGTCTCTTCTATAACCTCTCAAACAGGTCTTAAGGCCCAGATGCTCTCATACCTTAACAGAAGGTAGAAGATGACTTGAAAAGATCAGATAGACATCACTTTAAAGGTCAAAAATATCACTGTTTTAGAAGGGATTCTTCCACGACATGAAACACACCTATAAGTTATAAAAATCTACACATTTTGAGCTCTAACAGCTACTGTTTGGCAACAGTGTCAACATGATATTTTTGGTATGTACATTAAAGCAAGAGAAAAATGCCATTTCATAGTTATTTCCCTTTGAGCTATCTGTTCTGATATTCAGCCCATAACTAACCAGAACCAGGAACATCCAGATGCAGATGGCTCCCCCTGCAGCAGAAAGGTCTCTCACATACCAGCCATTCTCCTCACATAACACTATGCTAAACAGGCTCAGAAAAAACAACTTGCCCAAAAAGATTAGGAGAGCTGGAAAAGCTGGCTCCTCCAGAAATATTATCAGACTGAGGCCCAAGCAAACCTGATTTTATGTTTGTCCCCTCCTGATAAGAGTATATAGCCAAAGTGAGCCCCCGATCCTGCTCTCCCCCAATAAGATAAGTATTACATCCAAAGAAGAGGCCATATTTAAACTCACACTTTCAAATATTCCACAAGAAAGCTCTTAAAAAATATTTGGGCTAATCTTTAATGTTACATAAA